ATAGTTATTATTTTAGATTGGAATGTGATGAGTATCATCATCTCCAATAAAATCCCTTTCATACCCAGTTCTGGAATTAAGATCAGCAGCTATCAGAATATACCCGATTTTGCCATACTTTTCAGTTATATCTCTCTCAATTATTTCTATAATATCTACTCTACTTTTAGGGGCATAATATACTAAACACAAGTATATGTCTCTTACACAATTAAAAAATTCTTCGCACAACTTTAACCACTGGTACTCAGATGTACCAATATTTAGAAATGCTATACATGTTTTTATACTTTTCCGGAACAGGATACCTAGTCCACCAAAGTATCTGTTATTTTTAAATTTTTCTCTCCAAAACTTGTAGAAGTGAAAATTTCAAATTTTATGTTATGTTCATCCCCAATATGAATCTCTGTTAACAGGACTATATCGCTATTATCAAATTCAGAGATAAAATCCTTATCATTAGTCTTATCATAATTCTCAGATAGTAAACCACCCACTTTCCAGCTGCATATATTCAAGCCTGTTCCCATCTCTTCTAGGATTATTCTGAATGTATATTTGAAACTGGTTATATATATGAATTTGTATATATATATATAATATATAACTGTATAGATTAAGAGGTTTTCTCTATAATTATGCTGAAAGCTTTTTTTTCGTAGGTCTTATTTGATATGATCAGAGTTGATTATTCTAACTTCTAACTTTATATTATTAAAGTAATATATTCATAAGTCTTGATCTGTAGTAATTTCAAAGTTATGTTTTAATTCTACTGTATATAACAAAAATATTTCTTGTAATTCTAATGTATATAAGTAATATTCTTATGTGACAGTCTTAGTATATTATACAGCGCCTTAACTGTAAAAAAAAATAGGCTGAAAGCAAGAGTAATTGAAGTAATAATGAAAAAACACAATAAACAACTAATAAAGTTCTTGTTATATTTGCTGAAATATAATGGTCAAATTAATTAAAACGTCACGGCCACGCCTGCCACATCTACCTCTTTGAGGATGACTTCTGCCTCGATTTGAACAGTATTGCCTTCGCGGGCTGAATTTTGGTAAGCCTAAAGCTATGTCAATGGAATCTCTGATATTTGACGCAAGCATAGCAGTTCTATTATTGGTTAAGTTAAACCCATCATGTTCATTGATAAAACGTGGAATTGCTTCACCTTTGAAGGCCATATTGCTATTGTCACAGAAAGTTATAAATTCATCTAGCCTGAACTTGCCTTTGATCATAGCGGTGATTAATTGACCTTTGTTGTTGTATTCCTGCGAATCATTTCTTGGAGTTGGAAGTGATAAAATGATTTAAATGTTGGGATTAAGCTCATGGATTGTCTCATGCAAATTTTATTCATTTCATCCACACACATTGTAGAAGTTTTTGTTTTTAAATCATTTGTAAGAGTATGAAGAACCAAAACATTCGGTTCTAAATGTATTTTGTTTTTCTCTTTCAGTTTCTTCTAGGGTAAAAGCTTCAATTTTATTCAAATTATAGTTGGATGATAGTTTTTCAGGGTTAATCCTACTGGTATTTGAGGACCCAATTAATGTAAACTAGGGATCTCTTGATCTTTTTGTTCCAGTTGAAGATCTATCCTATAAAGAGTACTTTCCATGTGTCAATCCTTGCAGATTTCTGTGTTAAATCATTTGAAATTCTGTCATGTCAGAGAATAACTTCTTCATTTTGTCCATTTGAGCCTCATTTTGCTGTTTAAGAAGTGTGCATTAAGATTCTAAATTTGATTTTAGTAATTCTTGTTCAAGAGTAAAAGTGTGGTTAAGGTTACTCATTTTTGTCCTTAGTTCACCATTTTTTCTCTCCACATTTGACTTTTTACTGAAAGGTGTACTCAAATTTCTCTTTTCGATGAAACTGTTGCCCATTTTTAGGATTTTTTCCCAAAAAACTGTCGCCGGGGGCAGAGATGCAAATTAATGCTGTAAAAAGATCAACCTTTTATCTTACTGTAGAATTTTTTTCGGCGGAATGTATGCTTGTGCGCAAAAAAGATCCTCATTTATTTACACCTACCACAATCGACTGTTTTTGTTTTTTGTTTTTAAATTTCTTTAACTAAATAAACTTTTATAGCCCATAGAAACAGATGTACACAATTCAAATATATGTCCTATTTTTTAAAGTGTCTTCTCTATTAAATAAAGAGTTTCATTTCTTTTGTTTGATTTCAACTGGACATCAACCTGTACTGTACGGCAAACATCTATAAATTTGCCTTGGAGATCGGTATTTTTGTTATACTTTTCTTCAACACCTTCCACATAACATGAGAAACACTCAATGGGAATGTAATGGACAAACAGGACAATATAGTGGATTTTTAATAGATTTCACTTTCTAAAATAGCAAACTTAAATATTTTTCACATGTACTTTGCAAAATATTGATAGCTTCTGGGGGTCTGTACCCCAAGACCCCCTGCCGGTATATCATAACAATCAGGTCAAGCTATTGCCTTGTTGAATATTCGTATAACGCAGTATGCATGTAAAAAGTCCGAGATTGCTTTGACCTCTAATGGCCTTTCGACACTTGTGGGGGACCGTGGAGCGTCAGAGCAGTACCCCATGATTTTCAGCATCGTACTTTCGCTTTATCTATGATATTGCAATCTGAGACGTTATTTCCTCTAAAATCTTGTAAAAATGACAGCTAATAATATCCCTCTTTAAAAGTGATGGTTATATATTGAATTCACATTGTCCGTCCTTTTTTTGTTAGTTCGTCCGTCCGTTCGTCCAACAAATATTTCTGTCACACTTTTCGCAGGTACTACCTAACAAAGTGATTTTATATTTGGTCAGCAGCTTGGCAGATATAAGTTGTAATGTATGAGCATTTTCGGATCTGTCGGATACATACTTTCGGTTTTCCAATACTTTGAATTTTTCAATATGTTACATGAACTTAAAATTTGTCGTCACACTTTTCTCAAGTACTACTATAACTAAACAGAAGGTTTTCATACTGTGTCAGTAGCTTCACAGTCACGAGTTGTAACGGCTGAGCATTTTTCGGATTTGTCAGAAACCCGCTTCCTATTTGACGAAACTTCGAATTTTTCAATATGTTGAATGAACAAACTTTTTCATCAAACTTTTCTCAAGTGCTACTGAACAAGAAGACTTCAAACAAGTACTTGATCAGCAACTTTACAGTTATAAGTTGTAACGTATGAGATTTTTTTCCGGATTTGTAGTACATCAAATTCCGGTTTCCCTATACTTTCAATTTTTCAATATGTGGAATAAAGTCAACATTTTTTGTCAAACAAAATCATGTCTGTAGGGACTTGATCCATGTGCCTATGTAATTTTATTTCACGAACACAGCGATAATTCACAGGCAAAGAACAAACAGTCGTGTTGAAAATATTGAGGATAACAGATTTGAACTACTGTAGCTCTAACAGTCTTATATATTTGTCTGTATCAAAATCGATTTATATATATCATAGGACACACAGATGTCATTCGTTTCTGGTAATGGTTTGCATTTGAGAAGAAACAGAAACAGCAATACAGCTACTTATAAAAAAGATGTGTGGTGTTTTAAGTTGCAATACACTCTCTACAGTAGATACCCTCCTAAATTTGTTTTAAGGGATTTATTTGATTGTTCTTATTGCTTTGTAAATAAGTCAAACGTTACAACTATTCCGGACAATAAAGTCATATAGTAACAGTGCTTCGGAACTGGTAAGATTTCAATGATAGATTAAAGTTGTAAAGGAGTACGTCCGGTAAGGGCCGATTTTGGCCTCAAATTTCAGGTTCATCTGATAAAATATTTTGGACACTTTTTAAACACTCAAGTGTCTACTTTAGTAGATTCAATTAGTTTATCTGAAAGATTTGGGCCGATTTAGTCACTAAAGACGCTCAAATTCAGGCTTAAATATTAAAAATCTTCCAATTATGTCATAATATGACACTTTTCAGATGGTTTTTGTCAAAAATGAAAGTGGCCGCATTCGTGTTCATCCTCGACCTTTATATATGATATGTATTATCATCAAATACAACTTACATTTAAATGTTAAGAATGAACACGAATGCGGCCACTTCCATTTAAGACGAAAACCGTCTAAAAATTAACTCAAATGCTAAAATTGTGAAGATTTCAGTAATTTAGCATGACTTAATGATGTTAGTACCCGATACATGTGTATTGTATTGTCAAAAACAGCCCATATTTATGTAACAGAAGTATTCTTCTTTCCAATAAATAGCTAAAAGTTTACATTTTAACAATTTTGTAAAACTGCTATATTTTGGGGCCAAAAAGGGGTCTTACTGGACCTACTCCTTTGAAAGTTGCACCTACTCGTCTAGATGACTTACCTGCTCTTGTGATTTTAATGCTGTTAAAAATAATTTTATAATTTCTCGTTTTATAAAACAAATAGCTAGAGGCGAACACAAATCTGCATCATACGAATTAAAGGAGATGACGGGTAAACATCGATTAGACAGCAACCCAACATCTAGAGGCAACAATGTCTATAGTCGGGTGTCTATACCGTACAATTATTGACTACCAATGGATCGGTACCGATTCCGATATCCGTCTCTGAGAGTACCATACGAAAAAAAGTAAATAATTTAGTACTAACATGGTTTAATTGATAAATTTAGTTTGTATAATGTCTAATTCATAATTATGTAACTTTATAAGTAGTAAGGTTTCGCATTGACAAATTTTGCGCAAGCGATATGTTGTATTGATCCAAAGCACAATATCCGTGCACGCACTTACCAAAACACACAACAAGGAAGCATATGTTTTTTTTTCTGTATTTCATCTCAATGTCGCACGGAGTCCTTGAATTCGGAGCAAAATCTCACCAAAGACCAATTTGCGAATGAGATAAAAAATATTATTCTCTTTACTTTTTCCAAAACTGAAAAAATTAGATTGTGTCCAGGAAGTTTCGAAATATCTAAACCAACTGCATCTACTTAATTTCATTTTATTCCATATTAGACTGTTCGATATATAAATAAATAATAACACTGTTGAAACTGACATGCATGTTTGACATGTGAGAGTTTTGCTTATTAATTACTAAGCTTTGTGCAGACATTAGATATTATCATGTTACTTGTAAGTAAAATGCAAAAATGTACATAAATCAACAATAACATATATTTTGTCAGACATGGTTTTTCTCTGGGTCTTATATTAATCCGTTTTGTGAATTTATGAATCCAGTTCAGATTTCACGGTTGCTTTTATCCCTTTCAATTGTCGTTGTATTTCTGTATAATCTGATTTTGATCCATAATCAACTTTGCCGCATATATCAAGATTATACCTAATGCTTTGTGAATAATGACGGGATTCGCCTTCGTTTCCTAATTCAATAAGTATGTCAAGTTTATTTAAAAAACTTTTGTTTTCAGCTTTCTGAAGAAAGAGAACTTCTTTAACAGTTAGTAGTTTTAACTCCATAAATGTCTGGATAGCCTTTAGTCTTCCAAAATAAACAGCAAAATGTAACGCTGACGTCTTATCTTCATTTTCTGTGAACAATCCTCTGTTAGACCTCCAATACTTCACATCCCTTGCAAACCTTTCTGATAAAAAAGATATCAAAGGACAAGATTCTTCATTCCACCAAAGAACACAGTATGTTAACACATTGTTTCCAAACTCATCAACAATAGAGCATAACATATCCCGTAAGTATTCTGGTTTATCTTTTGGAACACACAGTTCAGTGAAATCTTTTAAGGATTTCACTTCTTCATATTTTTGAAATGTTAACAATGACCATGAAGCAACAAATGATGTTGGCTTTGTGGCCAAAATGTAAGAAGGTGTCCTTTTAGTATTGATAGAGTGAAACAGCTTTAACAAGAGGTCAACTCGTTCACTCGTAAGGAAATCGTTACATTCTTGTTTTAGATTGTCAAGACAAACATTTGATAAAGGGTTATATGGATATTTCATTAAGTAATGACATATCATGTCGGATTCATTTTTACCTAACAATACTGCTTTTGAAAGTCTTAACCCTAGCGTTCTGTCAAACGTTTTCGCCATACCATGACTACACTCAAGTCCGACCTCATTTGGGAGCAGTTTAAAAGTTGGAGGTTTTATAATGTCAAGCAAGTGTTCAAGTTTACAATTCTCAAGAACATCTTCAACGCTGATCTTTGTATATGATAATAGCACAGCTTGGTATACGCTGGGTCGAATTGTATACAACCCTTCTCCATATTGACAAAAATATCGTTTTGAAATCTTATCTTGAAAATTGAAATGCTTAACAAGTTCGCTTAAATTAAATTTAATAACCCGTTTTCTTATATTCCGGTAAAGTTCCATATTAACTGCATTAACATTTATAACACCCTCTTTGTTCAGTAGAATATATACAAGAACACAATACTGGTCCCGATAATATTCGTCTTTTTTACCAGAACCACCTACACGAAGTTGTTCAATTTCATCTAGTAACGACTTGTGCGGCTGTCGGAAATACTTGGAGCCAAGTTTAAAATTGTCAGTATTTCCAAAAAAATTAGCACACATATACGGAAACCCAATAAATGTTTCTGTGTTGATGATAATTTCGACCTCTTTTTCTGACACCTGCATCTCCCTTTCCATCATATATAAATTTTCGTGTTTAGTTTGTCTGGTAACATTGTTTTTCAGATGTCGAACAATTAATGCAAGCTTTTCGTCCTTTGACATTGGAAACTCATAATCAAGATCGACCATTTGCATTTTTACATCATCATTTCGTCTGCGAAAAGTATCAGCAAGCGTCATATCGTTTTCGTCAACAGTTAGAATGGACTTCACTCTGGGTAATTTTAGAAAATTTTCTGTAATCATCAAAGCTTGATTTATATCTTCAGCGCTAGCAAATGCATCAAACATTTCGTCAAAAATTACTATAGTATTATCATTTGTTTTCTGAAGACGTGCATACATACGCGAAGCAGTATCTTTGCTATCATTCCTTGTAATTATGACCAATTTGTGGTCTTCATTCCTGCAGGCTACATAACGAGCTATTTTAGATTTGCCTGTTCCTCTTCGTCCTTTTATAATAAGCATTTTAGATTGTTTTAGGTATTCACTACACTGTTGTATACCTTTTGTCACAACGATTTCACAATTATATGTATCTGACTTGTCGTTAGTGGTTTTATCTATAAAAGAGAAAACATATTACCTACCATATACTAAAAGAATATATCCACGAAATTAAAACCCCCACGAAAATTTAACCTACATAAAATATCACTTCCATTTAATGGAAACCACGAAATTAAATCCCCATGAAATTTTAATTAGTGACAATACCACGAAATTTTAACCCCACGAAAATTAATGTTTCTACAGTATATAAATTGACGTTAAAGATCCATATATTGCTTTGATTATATGTGCTGTTATCATTCCATTCTTAGTACCCGGCCACGTCCACTCTGTGTTTTTGTTAGAATTATTTCTATTTGTATCCATCTGATGAGTTAAGCCTTTTTTAACTGATTTTTATAGTTCGTTCTTATGTTGTACTGTAACACCACTGTCCCAGGTTTGGGGAGGGTTTGGGTCCCGCTCACAAGTTTAACCCCGCCACATTCTGTATGTATGTGCCTGTCCCAAGTCAGGAGCCTGTAATTTAGTGGTTGTCGTTTGTTGCTGTGTTACATATTTGTTTTTCGTTCATTTTTTGTACAATAGTTAGGCCGTTAGTTTTCTCGTTTGAATTGTTTTACATTTGTGATTTCGCGGCCTTTTATAGCTGACTATGCGGTATGGGCTTTGCTCATTGATGAAGGCCGAACGGTGATCTATAGCTGGTAATTTCTGTGTCATTTGGTCTCTTGTGAAGAGTTGTCTCATTGGCAATCATACCACATCTTCTTTTTTATATTTAGTGTAATAAACGACAAAATTGTCACTAAGGGAGCTGAATTGCAAATGGGTTTATTCAGAAGGGATATAGTTACGATACTGTGGTCAGGTCATTAAAGATGGCATATTTTGGTATTAATATTGATTCACTCATAGGGTCTTTGCATCGGAAATAAACACATGTATTCTAAAACCAGTTGTTGGCATGATATGGGTTATGTTCTTCTCATATATTTTATGATGGTATGATACTAAACCCCTAATGGGAGGGATTGTGTTTGATTTTCATATGATGGAGACATAATCTTTCAATCAGTTTAATTGAGGTATGGAGCTAGCATGTCAGTAACTGCTAGTAGTCCTTTGTTAATTTGTGTATCATTGTCATTTTGCTTAGTTTCTTCTGTTACTTATTCTACATCGGACTCGGACTTCTTTTAAACTGAGTTTTACTGTGCGTATTGCTGTGTGTTTGTTTAATCTACATTGGCTAGAGGTATAGGGGGAGTGTTGAGATCTCACTAAACATGTTTAGCCCCACCGCATTTTTGCGCCAGTCCCAAGTCAGGAGCCTCTGGCCTTTGTTAGTCTTGTATTTTTTTTTTAATTTTAGTTCATTTGTATGTTTAGGAGTTTAGTATGACGTCCATTTTCACTGAACTAGTACACATTTTTGTCTAGGGGCCAGCTGAAGTCCACCTCCGGGTGCGGGATTTTCTCGCTGTGTTGAAGACCCATTGGTGGCCTTCGGCTGTTTTTTTACCCACTGGTCTTTTGTCTCTTTGACACATTCCCCATTTCCATTCTCTATTTTATTTATTCATTTCTCGCAGTTTGTGAAGGCCTTACGGTGACAAGCCTGTATCCCGGCTCACCGCTCGACAATACTGACGCAGAGAGGAGATTTTGCCAGGATGCCAGGATGCCAGGCAATACTGCGACCTATGATTGCTTTCATCTACGTCATTTAAACTCTGTTGGATAGTTGTATCATTGGATATCATACCACATCTCCTTATTCTACACTAAAATTGTTGACCATACCGGAGCAGTCCATTTCTTTTGTAGTTCGTAAATTTAGTTTTCTCTGCAGTTTATTTTACTGCTGTTTTCTTTTCGATTAAACGATAATGTTGGTCCCGTATCGACTCAGGTTTTTTTCTTATTTATTCCTTGATATTTGATTACATTCAAGATAGAAGAATGATGTAAATTTCAGGAGAAGTGGTAGGATTTTCACTGAGTCAACTATTAATTAAGACTAAACGAAAATAGAACATTAATAAAATATTTAACTAGCATAATCATTCTTTTAAAATTAAGGCGCAAAACTACATGTAGCATATATGTATATTATACATGTATATCGTATATAAAATGCATCTATTTAAAAACACGTGTAATATTTCGACTGACATGACAATGTTTAGACTTACAAATATAACTCTAATATGATTGAATATTTTTAAAAAATGTTTTCTTCGTGAATGTGTCAACAACTACACTACTTTAGTCTCTATAAACCAATACAATCAAGGTACAGAGATTGACAATGTCAGTTTGGATGGTGAAGAAGCATAAACTGGACACACAATGTACAGTTAGAAGATATTCCGGGTGTATTTACATCGAAAAAGAAGCATTTAATATAAACATCTTATTTTTATACTAAACTATTTGATAAAATATACCTTGGTTATCTTGACATAGGTGATATAAAATAATTATAAGTGCTGGAAAATAAAGGAAATCATTAAATTATAAATATATTTGTAAGGCATCAATAACAACTGAAAGCTTCATCTGTTACATCATATAATTCTGGATATCCAGTAAATGCATGTTTCAATACATTTCAATTGTTTAGTGGGGTTCGTGTTTCTTAGTCTTTAGTTTTCTATGTTGTGTTTTGTGTACTATTGCTTGTCTGTTTGTCATTTTCTTTTTTAGCCATGGCGTTGTCAGTTTATTTTTGACTTATGAGTTTGAATGTCCCTTTGGTATCTTTCGATCCTCTTTTACTAAATTATGACCTTTGGGTTTTTATCGATTTCTGTTAAAAAATTACATTTAGTTCACTTTTTTTCATGTTAAGATTCAAATTCCATTACTAAGTATATGAAAATAAACTAATTTTCACGAAAAAAATACCCTTGTCAAAGAATTTAGTTTAATTTAAAACATACATTATAGTTTGAAGCCAAGTAGAAAAGGCTTAAAATGTTTCATGTTAATTCATCATTTAAAAGAACGACAAAATGCACAATGAGATATTGTCTTCAACGTACCCGTCATCGCCATAATAAGTGCCAATAAAATCAGGACCAAAAGTAACAATTTCAGTAAACGTAATGTCTTTAAAGCTGAAAAAAAGCCCACAAAAACAAACGATAGAGTTAAAATTCCTAAAATATGATACATGCAACATTTCTGTAATTCTCGCATAATATGATCCTTTAATGCATGCAATATTTTTTATTAATCCGTTAAGACGAAGTTACGCTATACAAGTTCTTACATTGAATGTGCTTTTTTTTAATATATTTCTTGAAAGGAGTGATGAATATTTTCGAACAAGCCATAAAAAGCTTGCAGGCAATAATGTATGAATAGGAAGGACTGCATAAAAATTTGAATGAATTCCAACTGTGAGCTTGTTCACATTTGATTATTATCTCAAGAACAAATACGTCATAATAATATGAACGGTGTCAATTTTTCTGCACCAGATCAGATCCTAACTGTTAAAGTATGAGAGGATATACAACAAGCAATGGGGAACTTTTAACAGCCTCCACAAAGCGATAGAGACGAGAACTTTCTATGTAATTCCAAAAGGAGAGCTGTGTGTACTAATCTATGACACAACATTGCTTCAAGAATTTGTCAAAACTTACAAAAAAGCATATATTTTTAAAGCTGTTTTCCACCTCAAACTATATAGAGAAATAAGAATTCCAGTAAATTGGGACGGACACTTTCTATCTCCCAAATTTTCTCATAATTCTGAAGTTTTCTTCTGTAATCAATTAAAAATCCTTTAAAACAGGAATTTCAGATCATTTTGAGCATTTTCTACAAATATATGAGTCCTCAAAATTTAACCCCACCCTCCCCCAATTAATCTCAATGCAAGGGTTGCAAAACTTTCTTTGAGCAGTAATTTATTTTGATCTGAAAAAAAAAATAAAAATACAAAAACATTAGTATAAGGACATCATTCGTAAATATAACTCAACATGCAGACATCTTATACGTTCGGGTATTTCACATCCAATCTTTTATGGTAATATTCTTTACAAAGCACAAAAATGTCAGTATTCACCTCAAAGCTAACAAAACCTTTAAACAGACTTATTAAAAAAGGGATATAGTTACGATACTGTTGTCAGGTCATTAAAAATTGCATATTTTGGCTTTAATATTGATTCACTTATAGGGTCTTTGCATCGGAATTAAACATATTTATTCTAAAACCAGTTGTTGGCATGACACGGGTTATGTTCTTCTCATATATTTTATGACGGTATAATACAAAACCCCTAACAGGAGGGATTGTGCCTGATATTCATATGATGAAGACATAATCTTTCAATCAGTTTAATTGAAGTCTGGAGCTGGCATGTCAGTAACTGCTAGTAGTCTGTTGTAATTTATGTATTATTGTCATTTTGTTTATTTTCTTTTGTTTCCTATTCTGACATCGGACTCGGACTTCTCTTAAACTGAGTTTTACTGTGCGTACTGTTGTACGTTTGTTTTTTCTACATTGGCTAGAGGTATAGGGGGAGGGTTGAGATCTCAAAAAACATGTTTAACCCCGCCGCATTTTTGCGCCTGTCCCAAGTCAGGAGCCTCTGGCCTTTGTTAGTCTTGTATCATTTTTAATTTTAGTTTCTTGTGTATAATTTGGAGTTTAGTATGACGTCCATTATCACTGAACTAGTATATACATATTTGTTTAGGGGCCAGCTGTAGGACGCCTCCGGGTGCGGGAGTTTCTCGCTGCATTGAAGACCCATTGGTGGCCTTCGGCTGTTGTCTGCTCTATGGTCGGGTTGTTGTCTCTTTGACACATTCCCCATTTCCATTCTCAATTTTATTAGATTTTTTTTATTAGATTCAACGAAAACATTTAAATTAAATCGATAATGTTTTTACAAAAAAATATAATTTGAAAAGTGTTAGTATCTCGCACTAATTGTTTCTAACCTCTCTTACAATCTGTCGGTAGAACTGTTCATAAAATACCACTGCTCACAATTTTAAAACAGTTTCTGACAGAATCTGCTCTACTCCAGAATAGCGTCGAGTTGTATCATAGAACATATTCGCCCGGTTCTAACCTAAAACAGTTCTGAATAATCTTATCCTAATCAGATTCTGACAGTTCAATTCTAAACAGATTCTGAGAGTACTATTTTGAATATTTTCAAACAGTTCTACTCTAACAGTTCTTACAATCATACCCTCTTAATTCACACAAAAGAGCGGTTAAAAATATACTGTACCCGACCATTGCTCTAATCTTTGTTATGTAGAACTGTTCTACATCCTTTTCAGTTCTAGCCTATAAAATATTTTTACAGGTAAACATGTACAACAGATTAGTTCTATCGTATTTCCGCATTTCTATCTTAGAAAAGGTTTTGGCAATTCCATCCTAGAACAGATTTTAACAGAAATGTAGAACTTTTTAGAACAGTTCTATGATAGACAGTTCTGAAGAGATATTAGGACTAAATCCAACTTGATAAGCATCTCCAGCTATTCTCGGTCATCACTAGGAAAAGTTAGTTAGATAAATAGCGAGTTCATGCATACATAAACTACTTCATCTATATATGATCAGTAAAATGTTTCGGTTATCGTTTTATCGTTTTATATTGTATACTAGTATATGTACTAAAAATGCATTAGACTAGCGCTTGTGTATCATGCACCAAACTTCCAACGAAATTTACCTTCCTTGTTAAAGAGGAATAACTCTTGTGTGGAAAATGGTATTCTAATGAAATGGCGAACTGAATTTAAAAGCTTTGTAATAGGAAACTAGTCCTTCACAAAACGCTTTTCTGGGTTTAACTTCGTAAAAAACAACGCGCATATCCTAACTCTTGAGTTTTTGTACATTTCACTTTTAAGCATTTATTAGAACATCAATGCTAAAATGAGAACGCTTGAACTAAACTAAAGTTGATTAAACATTCTTTCGGAGTATCTTGTATAAAATCACAAATTGGTACGCTCTCACTGTGTCATTCTTGAAAGAAAAAAAAATATTCTCATATCTTATATTTCCATTTCATGTTTTGATACGTTTAATGTACGCCTACTCTTCTTAGATTGTTACAGTCAACTATTGTCCGTGGAAAAAATCGTCCCTTTATTCATTACAAAATGAGTGTCATCGCTGTTAGACCATTCTAATCCGTCGTTTTTTTATATTTCTAAAAGAATTCACAGTCTGTACAAACAATTGTCTTATACACCGCATCTTTATAACAGATATCATCGAAGTCATAATCTGATGCTGATTAGCATATCTATGTTTGTTCATATTTTCCACTTATTCAAGATTGAAAGTCTGCGAGTCCGTAACTGATTGTTTTATCAAGGTTGATTTTGCCTAGTTCAATAAAATAAATGCAGTAAGAAATAGCTAGTGTTTATTTCAAGTTATTCTATACTTTTTACAAAATCCCATTTAAACTCAACTCTCCATAAATCTAGAATTTTTACATTGTGATACTAGAATAATCAATTAGAAAATCTTTCATTAAAAATCCCAAGAAAGCTTTAAATTACTTTAAATAATCAGTTATCTTTTTGAAATTCTTCCCATACATTCTCTTTTTCTCTCTTTATTGCTTTTGTTTAACAGCTGCGTGCGTCGTTATTTTTGAAAGATCACTGCGTATGTTTCGGTTATTTTGGATTCCTATCAAAGTTACAATTCAGCTTAAACGAAACCATGTTTGTCGTTCTTTTTTTTTTTTCTTCCACTTTCCATCCGTTCCCCATATATTTAACAGTTTCTTTATATCCGATGGGTTGATTATTCTGCAGGCTAACAAACAAGAAATAAGGAAACATTCACCCAAAAGAATCATGATGTCTTAGTTTAACGTCGGGGAATCCGTTCAATCGACCTACGACTACAAAATGGAAGATAATAAAAAGTAAAATAACAAAATTACCGAATTTCAAGGAAAATTCAAAACGGAAAATTTGATAAAGTTTCTTAACTCTCTTATTATTGTTGTCTACTCTATCTGAGTGTGTAAATAAAAGAAGATACGGGGTATACGTCACCAAGATATCAACCCAACGACACTATGAACCAAATATACCTATTTTAAATATTTTTTCTAATTAATCTCACCTTTATCATCGAGAATTATTAGCAAGCTCTCTTGGACAAACAAGTATACATATTTGAACAGTAAAAAAGATTGATTCGTTGATTGTTTGTGTTTATTATCACTTTCAGTACTGTTTGCTATTTCATAGCGGTACATTAAAAAAGAGAGAAGACATCTAGGGGCAATCAAAACTGAAAGTCTGAGAAAGACAGACAAAATCATAATCAAAAGTAAAAGATGAACAGACAAACAACAGTATACAAAACACTACACAGAAAACTGACCATTGAGCAATCAAACCCCGAACAAAACAAAAGACTCGGGCGAACTAAGGTGTTGAAATACGAAACTATGTTTACTAATTTAGGAAATGAAATAAAACGAAAAGAAATTAAGTTTTTGAAAATTTTCAAAGTCACATGTACTACATTTCAATAACCAGGAACAAAATGCTTGCGTTTTGTTTCGTTACTTGAAATAACACTACCCCTGCAATGACATTTTAAGAATCTGACTGAAATTTACATGACTTGTATTTAGGAGAAATACAACCATTGTTTCTCCCTATTATTCTTTGTTAAATTGGTAATTTTCAAAATAAATTTGCCGAATTTTTGTTTCAAAAAAAAGAAAATACTTGGTATGAGTAAAGTTTTATCATGTCCAGTACTACAGTGAATATTTCACATAACATTTCAACAAATGTCAAACGTTCACCTTTTTTCCTATAAAGTTTCCAAAACATTTTATAGAAACACCAAATGAAAAAATAATGGTGCTTTGAAACACCCAAGATATATGTTTATGATTCAGATTATTTTTCTGCAATGAAATGCAAGGTTAATTTCCTACAACTGTCAAGGGAATATTTTTTTCGACCCACTTTCAAAACCGGATGACGTACTATGATTTGGTGGTATTACACCTAAAGGTGTGCTTTTCCAGGACCAATATTTCACAGATGCATACATATACATGTACTCACATACTGCACTTGTAATAGCCCTTGTATAAATGTAGCCATTTCATTAGTCATAAAAGATCACTACTAGTATTATAAATGTAAAAAGAGTAATGATTAGCGCTTCGTCCATTGTTACATGGAATACTTTGTACTTTAGATTGACCGAATCCGCTAGTATGTCTCACATTTGAGAAAAGGGATATTGTACTACAATTACCTTGTGTAAGTTTGATGTTGTAAACTCGGTTATCAAACATATCATTATGTTTAACAGAATATTCGTTCTTTGCGTATTTCCCATTGTTGTTCATGCCCTTTTCTGTAATCAAATATGATAAAAATAAGATTTTAATAAGATATTAAAATGATATCTTAATTAGCTAATTTTTCAAAAATTCAAAATCGAATGTTTTATTTATGTTTTAATCTTCGTTGGAGAAGACGCACAAATGCAACTTTGCTTATAATCTTGATAAAAACGTAGACACGTGTAAATCCTAAAAATGCTTTTGATTTGGTATTAAATATTAATGTAATATTGAATATGAACTCCGCTTTATACAAGACCGACACGCTGAGCCAGATTTCATTACGTGCTGGTTGATAAGGTAACAAGTCGAAGGAAGACATGCTACCATTTCCGACACACTACTATGCGTCAAAGCCGGGCAGTCTTTGCTCTTACTCTTTAATGACACTTGCATAAAGGAGAAGGTTTGACCAGTCGTGATCACGCTTGCGCTCTACCGCTAGACCATCGAGATGGCTATGTATTAGTAAATTTATAAAGAATTTCGGAATATTAAAACTACTGCACTATGTTTTCTAGTTTTCTTTACTGTAATACATTACAACACATTTAGATTGACGAAGACCAAAAAAGACGCGAATAAAACACATTTCCACATTTAATCGATATCAGGAACATGTAATGCCACATGTAATCTATAACTCATATGTACTTACCTAATATAACATTTGGTATAACAGGACATGTTATGATACCTTGAATCTGGCATTTGTAATCTGTAAGACAATTAAAAATATAAAAGAACATATTAAGATACTGCATGACAGTATAATCATAATGTGCCTATCCGTGTAATAAGAATCATGTTTTCATCAAGGATTCTTATATAATAGTTAAAATTAAATTGATCTAGTGTAATTTAAATTGTAATAAAATGCCCGTGTATGATTGCAATGTCCCCAAAAGTAGTTGGTTCGCATGTATGGTGAGAGTTTTATCTTATTAACTGTCAGCTTATTATTGATAATAATCAACCACGTAGGCGAAGGCAAAGCGATTCTGCGCTTTATCGCTCTTTTACAATAATCTTTAGTCACATTGGTTTCAAATTTCAAACTCTTAGATTAAAATGACATCCCCTGGATGGTTTCAGTGTTGTTGAATTGTGTACCAGCAATAATTATAAAGTGCTTGGTACTTTTGGTTTTGACGCCTTTTAAACTAGTAATTGATTACCCTTACAACTGTCCTCATTAGAGTCTTAATTTGGAGACGGAAAGTTTGTTTTGCATACTGAAATTTAAGCCAAGTATATCTGGTGTGTTTTTAAAAGACATTTTGTTCAAGCATATACATGTATATATACTTTAGAAACCGAATGCTTCATATTTATGTTTTATTAGTAGATTTGCTTTTTTTTCATTGTTCATATATCTATATACATCGGTAGTTTATTCAGAGAATAATATTTCGAGGGAAGCTTACATAAAACAAAAGACTGAAACGGAGCAAAGAAGACATATTATGGACTGCAAATATAATTTTTAAACCCCAAAAACATGTGGTCTAAAGAACTGATGAGTTGTATCGAAAATTATCGCGTGACAGTAGTTTTTTCTTCTAATTTTGGGAATATGATGTATGATAAAGAGCAGTGAACGAAACAATTTTCATGTAAGTTTGGAATAGCGAAGAAGTTAAAATCTTATTTTTAGAGACCATGTGGGAAGACTTAAAAGTTTCGATTAATATACACGCATCATTTGCTTTGTTTGTTGAATTTCGTTGGCGCATACTGTAAGTTGTCTCAATCATATTTTGTCACTCTGTTCATTTATTGTCTCTACGGTGGTTATCAACGGAATATGAAAGTATTGAGAATATAAACGCGATTTACACAAATCTGGTGAAATATTTGTCACAAAATATAACTAATATTAATTCAATTAAACTCACAGAACTCGTTTATTGAAAACATTATAACTACAATTGTTTTTAGTATTTTCAGCTGTCTTTTTGTATTAAATTATTAAAGCTGACACCAAGTTTTCGTTACTTTGACAGAGGTCAATGCAGTCTTCCTAAAACGCCTGTAAAATTAGTGAAATTTTCATCGGCTTTTATAGATAATTCTTTGAGGTTACCAGATGTCCTGAAAAACAACTGAACTAACCTGGTGTCAGTTTGGTTGAGTTGTTGTGACATGGTTTTCGGTAACAAGAGCAATCCTCTTCAGTTGGTATGCAATAACATCTATTTCGTGTTTTATAGACAAAATCATACCCCCGACTGTAATCACATCGACATGTTCTGTCTTTGTCTGGCTTTTCACTAAGGTCATGTATGAGTTGACCTTCACCATTACATTGTGTCTTTAGATACATGCATTTATCATTTTTATTGTCTTCATTTGATGCGTATGGCATCGGTTGATACTGGCCATCTGGGCAATGTTTAGAATTGAGACCACCTTCATATAAAACATAACTGCCTAAAATACAAAGGATAATTATAGATTATCGATGATTTTTCAAACGAGAGGGTGTTTCTCAGCTACAATATCATCGAAGGGCGACAGCCCTGAGATGAGATGTGGCCGAGAAACATCCTCGAGTTTGAAAGACCATTGATAATCTGTTTATCCAGTTGGAAAGCAAGTCCTTGGAAACGTCCGTTGTCGTCAAGCTTTATCAGCAACAATAGCAGGGGGAATTAATTAGGTGGCGCTACAGTCGTCGGTGACGTCAATCGGCTAAAAAATCGACGTTTAAACTATTTTTTTCAACTTGTCATGCTTTTATTATAATTGATTTTCAAATTTTGTAGATTTTGTGAACAATATAGTTTCAATACGACATCGAAACATTGTCGAAAATAACTTTTATTTGCTATTACTTTATCCTATCCGTTCTAAAAATGATCAGCCATCTTTTTTGTTCGCCAAAAACATCGAATTTATATAACTTGACGTTTGCGTATCCAAATACGGAATAGAACGTTAAAAATCTTAAATGAAACCGGGTAACCTATTTCAAATTTCTACACAATTATGAAGCCATCATTTTTTACTATTATACATCAATTTTGGTGACAACCAGTCATGTCAATTTGTACCTGGTTTTGTTTGCGTTTCTACTTCAAAACAGAAAAGTTCAACTTCTTTTCATTGTACCTGTTTCCAAAGTACTCTAAAATACTGATTTTATTATAGATATGAATGAAATTGTGATTAAAAATTGTTGTTTTTCACAATTCCATACGATATCTCCATTTTAAAGTAATTAAACCCCTTTTTGATCCCCTACACAAATTGACGGTGACATTGATTTCTTTTTCAACATGCGTCATATATAACGTTTACAAAATATGTGTCAGGGTCATGTGCATAGTGAAAATTTACACATTGGACAATTGAAACAACAAACAAAGTTCTTCTTTATGGCGTTTGAAACTATAGGTCTAAGAAAATTTCATTTATACTGGAAGCAAATATGACAAATTAATGATGGCCTATGGATAAACAAAAGCACAAAAATAGCAATAGAAAATGCATTGCAAAGAAAATTCCTGGAGGAAAAAACATATGAAAAAAGGAAATGAAGGTCAGTTAATTATATTTATATTTTATAAGTTAAAAACCTTGCTTATCAATTATCTCTTTACTAAGTAAGCTACATTAATAAGAGCAAACACTAGCTTTTCAAGTCAAACAAGAAATTAATTCATAGAGATGTGCATGTATATGTGCTTACAAAATTGAATTTATTCTAATGGCAAAATCTTGTCAAATTTAATCATCATTGATCATTATTAAAGTAAAATGCACAAGATTTGTCATACCAACTTTCATTTCTGAGATTAATATCCAATTATTCAGGTAAAATATACAATACTTTGTTTATAAATATGTAAAGCAGCAGATACAGCAACCTGAAGAGAAGAAGCCCCAATTTTTTTTCAAAATGTTTACTTTCATAATCTATAAAATGCAAAAGTTTAAAATAGCCTTCCAAGGACAAGGGCTACTGTGCTAGCTAATCTAATAGTTGAATTTTACATAATAATGATTTTAACATTCAAAATTATGTCACTTTCACTTATAATTTTAAGCATTATTTTTTTACAGAATTTTTGGTAAACTTATCCTTTTTCTGTATGATATTTTCTAGGGAGTACTGTTCAACTAAGAAACATAGGCTTGAGTTAAAAGGCTTTTTGACTTTGAAGAAACTAAATTGTGACTCTTGGTTCCACTTTATTAAAATATAAAATATAAATGGTCAGTACTATTTTTTTTTCAGAAAGATTATTTAAATTGTATACAGTATGTTTTATTGAATTAAACATTGTTAGAAGTAGTTACATTAGGAGTGATCCCATATCCCATTATAAAAATTACAAACTGAAAGTAAATTTCATCAGCCAGGGCTAATTTATATCAATTCAGCTAGGTTTCTAGATCTAATTTTTACCAATTTTTTGTCTTTTAATTTTTACCTGTAATCCTTTTCTAAAAAGCAGAGAAGTATCTCTTCTTAATATTATAACAACATAGTTGTTAATCGACTTTCTTTTATTTTCTTCTTGATTTTTGTAAAATAAACTCCTTTTTATTCATTTTGGTGGGTTTTTATTTTTGACTGGTGATATCAAGGGGAGATAACCACTTGCACAAATCGGCAAAAAAAACACCGCTTCGTGTTGAACATAACTTGACGTTTGCGTATCCAAAACTGTATTGCCTAGATATTCATATCGAGTGTTTGTCTTAATGAGATGCTTTATTAAATTTAAATTCAGCCCATCATTTTTAGTTTCCTCGAAAATATTTAGATTTTTCGATCAGGAGCCTTGACAATTTTCACACAAACTTCAAGTTTGAAGATAAAATTAAGTATAAAGGACTTTGAGTTGATGTGTAAGTTTTGACGAGTTAAATCTATGTATATTCAATATTATTTTGATCAATAAGTTTTTACTATGACAGTGGTATTTTAGTGAGTAAAAGTGAGGTTTGTCTCATCCGTAGTTTTACTGAATTTTCACGGTCACGTGACTC